TTGTTTCCCATGAGGTATGAGTGTATTTTCAGCTTTGTATTGACAGTTTCTTGGCAGTTTTTTGCTACTTTTGTGCCCTTGTTGTATACATATACTGGCATTCACACATTAGCACAGGCAGGTTGTGTACTGTTCTTAATATTAAAACCCTGTTTATAAGCACTGCAAGAAAAAAATAAAATTGAAATGTTTCAAACAAATGTTGTAGTATATTTTTTATCTGGATCTAAAATAAAGTTTACATTATCATAACTAGAAAATTCATGCTAAAAATGTTGAACTTAAGTTGAAACAGCAAATGTTGTAAAGTCAAATTAACTTCAATAAAACAATTCAGCACTAGGCAAGATTTAAATAAGTGAGTTGAAATGACTTGTACTTTTAAGTTGATTTAACTTAAAATTTTAAGGCAGCCACAAAACTTACGTTTTTAAGTTGAAAGGGGTGAACATTTTTTACAGTGCACTGTTAGACGTTTCAAGGGGTTATAGCCTAAATAGAAACTCTGCATACGCTTGCAACTGTTAATCGTTTATATTTTATATTTTATATTAGTTCATGTTGCTTTTGTGCAATAGATTTTATGTTTAGATATTTCTATTTTGCGGGAGTCCCGTGAATCATTTTATTCTCCCGCATCCCGCACACACGAGTGTCTACCCGGCCGCAGCATCACTCGCACATCTTCTCCCGCACCGCGCCGCGGTGTTGGCTGCGTCGGGTCTCGTGGGAGCAGGTCTAATATACTGGCACTTGACTCGACAGTGCGTGTGCTACATCCTTTTTACAATCTCTGGATAATAAAACACTGCATTCTGTAAGCAATTTAATGCGGAATAGAGACCTCGGCTTGTAACTATGCTCTAATTACTATTTTGAAAATTATAACGCGTTAAATTACTCTGTTACTAAAAAAGTAATCAAATTACAGTAACGCGTTACTAAGTAATGCGTTACTGCCCAATACTGGACACGACAGACGACACAACAGCTAAAGGCTTCTGTCTGACAGACCTGGGCCCGTTTTCATGAAAACTCTTAGTGCAAAGTGTTGCTCCTAGTGAAAAAAATCAGAGAAAATTCTTAGATAAGTGGACATTTCCCCTTACAATTAAAGAGAAGATCCTAGGGAAGATAAAAGTTATTCACAAAGCATCTTAACCCTTAAAAGTGTTAGGAGTAGGGAGGAAGACTTTTAAGAGGCTTAAGAGTTTCTTTAGAAGAGGAGAAAATGGCTGAAAGATGAAGAGGGAGAAGAAATGTTGCAGACAATGGATGACAGTGTTAGATTATATTGTGCAGGGATCATGTTTGTGACCGATCTTATTAGAGACACAGCATATATATACAGTATATATATGTGTGTGTGTGTGTACGTACAGTGCTTATAGACAACCACCCAATGTAAGGTTTGTGCCACACCAAATAAAATAATTTTTTAAATATATTTCTGTAATGGTTAATCCACCAGTATGTGTAAGCTCTTTAGTCACATTAGTGTTTCTAATGCTAAAATAAAATTATTGTTGACATTCAATGGATTTAAAGATAGATCGCACAAGTTTAATGAAATGTCTTTCAGAATAACTATAAACTATTTGGAAGTCAGTAACAAAGACTCTGGAAAAGTACATAAAAGCAGTGCCAGCAAGAATGCAAGCTGTTATCAAGACCAAAGGACTGGAGGCCATACAAAAAAGTAGAATGTTTTTTTTTTGTTCTTAGTTGTGAATAAAGAGTATTTATTTGTTTAGTTGACTATGTTCGTTTATTTGTTATTTGCCCAATAAATGGCAACACAATTTTTTGTCTTTAAAAAAAGTTTTTGACAGATTCCTAAAATCTCTTTATTATGACAGGTGGTCTAAAACATTTGTTAAGCACTGTGTATGTGTGTGTGTGTGATTGGGGTAAAATAGGAACAAATAGACCATATTTTAAAGCACTTTTTTTCTTGGACAACCAATCACTGTCTTCAAAAGAATGTGTCATTCTTTGATTTCTAGAGCTCTCTGAGAGGATTCGTAGGAGCTTTATGAATACGGGCCCTGATCAACAGCTAATAATACTTCTGTGTGAACTTCCACTCTTAAAAATAAAGCTTCTTTATTGGTATTGATGCTTCCATGAAGAACCTCTAACATCCATGGAAACTTTCTTCTGCACAAAATTATTATATACATATATTTAAAATTAATATAAAGTTAAGCCCCACTCTATTCAATATTTATATAAACAAATGAGCAAAATCGTTAATTCGACTGCTCCTGGCCCAACATGACTGAAACAGAAAATAAATGTCTCCTCTTTGCAGATGATTTAGTCATTCTGTCAAAAACAAAAGAGGGACTACAACAGCTCCTTGACATTATAGAGACATTCAGTCAAACATGGGCTCTTAGAATTAACCTAAAACAAGAATAATGATTTTTCAAAATAGATTCAGGTGTAGGGAAAACAAATACACCTTTAGAGCAGGAAACCAGGTCCTCCAACACACCCACGAATACACTTACCTGGGACTAAACATAAGTTCAACAGCAAACTTCAAACTGGCTGAGAATGAACTGAAAGCTAAAACTCCTGAAAGCAATAATCAAACCAATTGCTCTTTATATGGGGACCCCTAAAAACCCAAGATTTTTCTAAATGGGAAAAAGAGGAAATTGAAATTATGCATACCCAAATTTGTAAAAGCATCTTAAAAGTTAACAGAGCAACCCCAAACAACTCGTGCAGAGCTGAATTAGGACAATACCCCAAATTTGTAAGAGCATCCTAAAAGTAAATAGAGCAACACCAAACAACTCAAGCAGAGCTGAATATTAGGACAATACCCCTTATTAATCAGTTTCCAAAAAGAGCTCTGAAATTCTATAAGCCGAGCTCAAACCCTGCAGTGTCAGGAGCAGAACCTGCATGAGTGCTCTTTCACACTACAGCACAGTCTGGCCCAAACACATTATACAATTACAAAAACTACAGCAAATTACATTGCCTATTTGAAAGATGCCACTAAAGTAAAAAAAAAAAAAAAAAAGAGATGGAACTATATTTACAACTGAAAAGAGATTACAAACCAGCAGAAAACCTGAGCTGTGTGAAAGAGCATTGAAACTCTCTTCACAACAACAGACACAGCTTGGTTCCTTGAAACGGGCGTTTAATTCTTAGGGTCCTTTTTACGCTGTGAGAACTGTATTCAGAAATGAGCAAAGTGCAAAAACATCAAACACAAAATGGCATTTAGCGCTATAATGGATACTTTCGTTACATTTTACAAACAAATACCTCGTTGGTCGCTTGTCATGAAAAGAGGTCCTTGAATCCCTGAAAGTCTCATAAAAGTCCACTTTAAAAGTCCTTTGGCTTTGAACATGAATAATCACAACTTTTAAATGTAACTCAGCAGAGCCTCGTGGGGTTAGCTAATTAATATTTCACATTCAACGCAATGACGTATTCTCAAGCCTAATATTTTAACTTACAAATTGTAACGAATCAATCCACTGAAGGCGAGCGTAGTGAAGAACCCAGTGAAGCGGAACAGGCAGAGCAGGGAGCCATGGCGGCGCAGGCAGAGCAGGGAGCCATGGCGGAGCAGGCAGATCGGGCGGCCGTGGCGGAGCAGGCAGAGTGGGGGGCCATGGCGGAGCAGGCAGAGCAGGGGGCCATGGCGGAGCAGGCAGAACGGGGGGCCATGGCGGAGCAGGCAGAACGGGGAGCCATGGCGGTGCAGAGACATGGACAGACCACTTGCCTGTGACCGAACAAGCAGAGAGTTCTTGAATGGCCTCCTTGGCCGTGAAAGGACAGACAGTGAGTTCATGAACGGCCTCCATGGCCGTGGCAGGACAGACAGTGAGTTCATGAACGGCCTCCATGGCCGTGACAGGGCAGGCAG